TTTTTGATTGGCTGATTCATGTCTGCCTTTTGATTGGCTGATTCATGTCTGCCTTTTGATTGGCTGATTCATGTCTGCCTTTTTATTGACTGATACGCCTTTTGATTGGTCTGTCAATGTTGTAACTGCTCTCTTTTCTATTATATTGCAATCATGTATCAATATTGATAAAACAGTCAATATTTAATTTAGTTGTGGTCTTGGGTCCAAACTCTTTTTAAACTTTTATTAGATATATATATATATATATTAGAGTCTAGTATCCGAAAATTGCTGTATTTCAGTAAAATGTTCATTGTGTGTGGCTGTTTCATTGGCCTAATACTACTCATAAGATTTGTATGTGTATGACCTTTGAACTGTGAATGGCAGCCAATCACATCTCTTAGCAGTGATATTTGTGACAGACAACTGAATTAAACTTTTTGACCATACAATACTACCTGGCGAAAGTCCATTTTGTTGAATAAGCATTTCGAATGTTGAGTATATTGTTCACGGACAAATGTGGTATGAAGTGAAGGAAATATTGCGTGCACTGTAGAATACTTTATTTTTGCTTGGAATAAAATTTCGCTATTTTTGCTGAAAGAATGATTCAGTGAAAATAAAATGCAGCGAATATACCATTGTTCCTACTCTCTCTCACGTCAAATATCAGTGAAAATAAATTCTATACAAAACGCCCAAAAAATCTATTCAGTATTCCAGCTAAAATAAAGTATTTTACAGTAATTGTCAGTTGTGTAAAAGAAACGATTTTCAGAGACAGGGGGAAAAGTCAGCTTTTTGATCAGGTAATGATCATACCAGATTCACACTTAATTACGTCAAAAGTTTGTGAATAAAATTTTGATTATTCCTTATTTTAATAATCACAAATTCATGTCATTTTTCTTTGCATTTATTGTATTAACTATTTCACCACCAGACTTTCCAAATTTGTCTGTAATTTTTTCTCATATTCTTCATTAATTTAAGCCAAAAGACAAAATTTGGGTAAAATTTCAGTTTTTACTAAAAAAACATTGGCTATTTTTGTCTCAATCTTCTGTAGACTATAAAACGGAACTTGTGAAATTTGTGATGAAAACTGGTGATGAAATGGTAATTAAAATTAGGAAGTCCACTGTAGTTAATTGGTAATGGTTTGCTGATGTTCAAGAGGTGAACGAGTCAGTTCTCGTATCCGTAAATGTCATTCAACGAAAACACTGCATTTGAAACAATACAACTTAACGTGGTGCACTTCCTCTTCTGTCAAGTATTGATGGCAAGTGCTGACCATTCACGCGTCTCTTAATTTTAAAGAAAAATTTCCTCGATTACCGTAAAATCTGTATTAGAAGCCGCATCCCTAATAGAAGTCGCACCCATACTTTTTGAACAATTCAGAACCAAAAATTCATCATTTCTCATATGTGTAGATGCTCTAATAGAAGCCGCTTCCCCTCTGTTGCATTGTAACATTTTAATAGAAGCCGCGGCTTTTAATACAGATTTTACAGTACTAATATTCAATTGAAAAGAAATCAACGATAAACATTTCAATGTGAATAGCAGCGAGTCATAAGCAACCAGATAAAAAGCTGTTATTTTCTGACTTTAGATTTCTGAAAATAATTTCTTTGAGAAAACCAAAAAAAAGGACCCCATCAATTAGCACCAAGTTTAACGTAATGAACTTTTATCAAAATACTCTTTCGATAAAACAAACTTACGACAAAATGGTGATTCAACGAAATAATGCTGAAGATTAAAAACAATTAAACGTTATGAAATGAAAATATTTTATGAATTTAAATAGGCACGTATTCAACTTATGTACCCATTGGCATTGTGGGTAAAAAAAATAAATCATTGTAATTTTTATTTTGAGTACCTATGCCAGTCTGGTCTACATTATTAGTTTTATGTCTATATTGGCTGTTTACATAGTTAGCGTATTTGATTACACTGTTGTCTGTCTGTAGTCTATTTAATCGTATCTAAGGCCTGCTTTTTATTTGTTGAATAAACAGATTTAAATTTGATTTACACAGTCAAAACATCATTATTTAGGTCGACCTAAAGCGTCCTCATTTTTTTGAAGTCTGACAACAGAATTTTCAACTTCGTTTTCACTCGTGCTGCTGTTTCTCTGTTTAAATATCCGCTAACCAGGCAGTGATCTGTTTGTGTGCAATGCTATCTTTGAAAGTATTGTTGAGAATTCCTTGAATTTTGTTTTTCTTCTATATAATAATCAACGATTTTGTTTCCTCGGCAGTCCAGTTGACTCCTCTCGAAAAATCCTTGTTGCGATTGTGAACATGTTTTAAGGTCGGCCTAAATATCTTGGTTCAAATTCACACACAGATTTAGACAAGTCTAAAATTTGGGTAATCCTAAAGCTGGCGTTATTTGTCAATGTTTTCTATTTACGTTGTTGTCTACCAGCAATGTCGTCTGTCTATTTTGTTGTCCATCTGCGTTGTTAACTGTGTCTCAATATTGATATATTAGAATTGTATTATATTCTCTGAAGATTATGAAATATTGTAAGACCATCAGTTTCAGACGTGCATGATATTTTTTTAGAATTTCGTCATTTTTCTGATATGCAAGAGTTTTACATTTCACAACAATGTAGTAAGCAGTACTGTAACTATAATAGTAAAAGGGAAGTCTTGGAAAACAATATAATGATCCCAGCTGGAAAAGCTTCACAAATGTAGGAGAATGCAATTTACATTTTTTTAACATCACTTTTCATTTTTCAGATATTCTACTTTTCATCAATATTATGTAGTCCATCATCTTGATTCTCCAGCAAAGGATTGTGGGTAAAGTATGACCTCATAGTCACTGTTGTAAAAAATTGAAAAAAATAATTTCATCATTAACAGTATCTTCTGTCAGTGAAATAGTAAAACATGCAACAGTCAAAAAATCTTCACCAAATTTTCAACAAGGCATTGCAATGGTTGTATTGAAAGCATCAGCTTATTGGAGTAGAGAAGTCAAAACAGTCGTTGTAATTCAACATGTGTAACTCAAGAGGAAATAAGAAAAACCAGGGATTTTTTTAAACAAGGGAACAGGGGCGCAGCGCCCTCATGCCATGGCCATGCGCACCCTTACCCTAGGGAGCAGATACTCTGGCAACCATAAAATTCTGATTGACCAGGGATCACATGTGGCCACAGTCTTCACCTGTGACCTGTCTGATAGTAATTTTGGCCCCAAGGAAGCCATAGAATGCTCCATTTTAACTTAGAATTATCTCCAACTTCACACCTTGGTAGGGAGAACCCCATCTCCCCCACCTGGTTGTCGCTGAATCGCAGTGCTCCCTCTTGCAGTTTTTTTCTAGAAAAAACCCTAAAAAGCTATATCAGGCATATGCTATAAACGCAATAAATTCATTCCTGTAAATATTTATAAATTTCATTCAGTTTAAATCAACCATCCAATCAACAAGTGAAATGTGACGTGACGTCTTTTGAAAGTGTTTCAGAAACCTTTTGATTTACTTTGAACACTGTGGTTTGAATTGTGAAATTTATAATTATTTTTAAAACTGAAGGAAATGGGTTTGTTGTGTTGATAGTACTTTGGAAACAGTATCTAAGATTTACTGACTTACTCCAAGAAAAATATCATGCGACTCTGAATCCGATAAATAGTGTGTTACACATTGCTTGTACTTTATGTATGAATTAATCATGTCTTTGTTTGCAGTCTTATGTAGTGTATCTACCGCCCTCTATGGTGGCAATTAATGTGTGTGTGCTATCAATATTTTGTCAGTATATGTAAAGTATTGTAATAAAAATGTGAATATTCATGATTATTGAAATGAGTTTTATTTGGGATCAAGGGGGGCATGACAGCCTTGTTACGACTGATGTAGACAGGGTGGATAGTGCGGGTAAAATCTAATGCGTACTACTCATCCAAACTGGATATTAATCAGTTTAATAGGGGGGGGGGGGTAAATATTTAATTGCAGTAAAATTTTTAATAATTTTTTTTTGGGTGAATCAGAGTTGAGATGGATGGATTGACATTTCTCTTGTATTATACACAAACTGTAGGGAATATTTGAGTGGGGGTATTTGCTGGTGTAAAGTTGGAATGGGTGGTTGAAATGTTTGAATGCGGTGATTGTGGGCTGGACTCGAGTAATTCTGCATGGAATGGTGCTAACATGGCTGTAATGAAGTGATTGT